TGTGTAAAGGAGCAGTATTGTCACTGATCAGGGCACGGCTGGCATTCGCAGGGCTGCATTTATACTTGCCAGCCCTCAGTGAGCGGGGAGAACGGAACATTTCTGAAATTCAATGTCTGATGAAGGTCTAGGCTTGTCCAAAACGATGTGGTTGTATCTACAGAGCGAGGCAAATTAATGGCAAAGCTTGGCTGCACTCGAAGCAGCAAATGGCCCACGCTCAGGGCCCACTCTCCGGCTCTAAATCCAGCCGGAATGGTCTGGCCACTGCTTTAATATTAAATCTTTTTAGCCTCCACAACGGGGTGGCCCATGGGAACAGGTTCGGGACTCTGCTCATTTCCAAACCATGGCTGGGACCTGTTTTCGACCATGCTTGGCCAACCCTGCTCTAAACCAACCTGGCTGACAACTGAACAGCACCGATGTTGAACAGCCCAGGCCCTACCACCGTGTAGTTTCTTGGTAAAGATGCTACTTTCTGGCTGGTTTAGTTCAGAGGGATGGGTCTGCAAACTTCTTTTGTTTAGAGGCTGAGCCCAGCGTGTCTCTCATCTATCTCAGCATGTCCCTCACCTGTCTCAGCGTGTCTCTGTTCAATGACACGGTAAACAGAAAGACCAAAACCCACCCTGCCCACTGCGGGGACTCCAGCGTGTGGGACGGGGGAGTTTGGGCAGGGTGGCACGAGGCCAGCATCCCCAGCTGACAGCTATCTGCAAAGAGGGTGAGCCTGGGGCTGGAAAAGCGAGGTTTTGCTATTTAGATTCAGTTTTAATTCTCTCCGTCGTCATTTGTCAAACCCAGTTGCATAGGACAGGCTCTTCCGCAGCCAGCACTCAACGTGTTCATGTTACACTTGCAGGGCAAGTCCTCCAGCATCGTAAAGACCTTGACCCCGCAAGTCTTTCTCAAAGGTGAAGCAGAAAGCAAGAGACTAGCGTTTAGGCAGAAGGGTGAGGAGGTTCAGGGAAGCTGGAGGAGAAGAAGTCTCCCCAGCTCCCTTCTTGGTATTCTCAACAAAATTAAATTCAAACTCAAACCTTGCAATGGCAGAGCAGGTAGAGGTCAGGGTGAGGCAGATGACAACCGGGTTAAACCAGGACTGAAGCGTAACAAGGCTGTGATATGGGCATGTTTATGGGACAGTTAAATCATCTCTTAAATCACCTCACCAAGACTATCAGATCAGACGTGCCTGTACCTGAGCTACTCACCCAGGCTCGTTTTAGAGCCCATGGAGACAAACAGGCTCTTCTCAGGTACTGCCAGGGACCAGTACAGCTCATCTGCAGAACGGTCAAGTCCTGCAAATGCCAGTTTGTCCCCACTGACTCAAAAGGGAGCTGACGGTGCCTGTCTCAGATATGGATGTCTAACCTGGGGACATCTACAGCCGTACCTCCTCCACCTCGTGTGGAGCAGCCCTCTTGGGACTGCAGGAACAACCTGACCCGTACGCCCTGCTCTGAACCTCTCATGTGCTGAGAACTTGCTGGATCAGACCCAAAGCTTCATGTAAAACGGCTGTGCTGTGTAGTTACATGAATCATATACATTAATTACATAATAGACACTCCCGCTCCCCATCCCACACGCACTTTGGTTATGCACAGGACACAAAGACTGAGTGCATTCACTATGAATCACGCAATAAGACTACGGCCCTCAGGCAAAACTCTCCCTAAAATGACCATGTTCATATATTCCCATGGTTTCCACTACAATGTTATTTAATTAAGAATATTAATCTGCTAGGCCACCAACTTTCACTGTCTTCTGGGGAAGTCTGAGCAGACAGTTATTTTAATAAAATATGGGGAATCCTGCTCTTTTTATGACTGAGTTGGTGCAACAAGGTAAGTCTATTGCACGGCCTCGTGAGATTATTTTTTATTTATTCTTGATATGAACGTGAGACATGCATCAGAGAGATCATTCGTTCAAAAGCTGCATGAGTGATGCCAGATAATCTTTTTTTGCTCTGCTTTTCAGCTACTGCTGTTGAATACTGCCCAAATATGCGTGACGCATCATTAATGAGTCGTACGACACTGCAAACACAGCACTGATCCCCATTTAGAGAATAAAAGATGAATACCTGAAGTTTGACAGCCGTGGGCACTCATTTGCACGTGCCTGCACCCTGCATGCAAACGTTGCAGTTGTGCAAAGCAATGAGCCCAGACACCGACACGACCAGTTCAGCCACATTACACCAGTCCGCCCCAGTAACTCCTCAGGGTTGCAGCCTGCTGCCCTTTTCCCCTCTCCCCCGGGAAGGAGAACCGCACTGACCACGATGGCAGACCCCCGTCACCTCCTGTCCCACAGCCCCAAAGCTCTTCTGATGTCCAGACTCATCTGGGACTGACACAGAGCCGTCCTCAACGCCACGAGCCGTCCCCATCCCGAGACTGGGAGGAACACCACAGTTCTGGCCATGGGATGGATGTGTTTCTGGTCATGGGAACACCATCAAAAATAGCTCCTTAGGGCTGCCGCTGGCAACACAACCAGGAACCACCCTTTCGCAGGACACGCTGCTTTGTTGGATGGAGTATTCTCCAGGTCTGGCTGAGCACAGCTTCAGCAGTGGTGCAGGCAGAGCCATGGAGGCCTGCGGAACGGCTGGGTGATGTGAAGCTGTGGCAGGTAGGAAGCCCTGCGCCTGTACGGGTGACATCCAAGGCCTAATGGGAAAGCTTGACGCATTTTTCCTCCTGCGTGATGTTGAGCAACAGGCAGTGAATATGGCATTCATTAAAATTACCTTGTATACTTTTAACAGCCTTGATCATCAGATTTCTGCCACTGCATCGGGAAGCAAAGTTCGTTTTTATTCAAGGCCTTGTAAAACTCTAATTTCTCCCTCATGCACTGGAGGTGACTGACGTTTTCTAACATTTTGGGGGTTTCTTAGCAGTCCTTTTTTTCCCCCCATCAAAGCTCTGTTCTCCTCTGAAAGATGTATCAAGCAAAGGATTGGAGAGCTGCGTTTCTCCATGTGTGAGGGATAAACTGGTTGCTACATGGGGTGGATTTAAACTTGCATTTCTCTCGCTATTTTATGTACTGACGGGGTTGGGTCCTGCCCTCGCTCCCTGTGGCATCGCTAGACAGCAACCCCGGGGAGGAACCGCAGGCTCCCTCCCTGCAGCCTGAGCATCGGCGCTCGCCCCCCACCCAGCAGCACCGCCCGGCATTTCCGAACGTCAGCAGACGCTGCGGACAACCTCCGGCGCTTGTGGAAGATCAAAGCCTCCTTTTCCAATCTTCAATCTAACTGGAAGCATGATCCCCACGCTGGGAGAAGGTAAAAGCATTGCGGAGGCGTCAGTTGAGCCCCGAAAAGACGAAGGGCATGAAGCGTGAAGGCAACCGACTGTAGAGCAGAGCAGCAAAGTTCAGTCCGCGGCCACGTCATGCACACCGCCAGGTCTTTCAGGCACTCTGCCTGTGCCCACACGCCAGGCGCTCACGTCTGAATACACACAGACAAGCAAGGGCTGCAGGGCAAGCGCGCAGGTACAGCTGCCGAGGTCCCAGCCGAGCCTCTCCCGGAGGGATGGCCGGGGGCACAATTGCAAAACCAACCCACTCGACAGCACAGACCGTCGGGAGGCTCGAAGGGAACCTGCTCTGGGCCAAACCAAGCGTTTCCTCAGCTTCAAGCCCATCGAGTTTTTTCAACCAAGTCAGCGCCACAGGAACCTGCTCCGCTGCCCTCCAACCCACGGCCCACGCTGAGATGGCCGGCATCCCCGAGAAGGCAAGAGCGCGCTAGGACCGCAGCGGTTTTCGCGGCTGTTTGTTGGAGAAACAACGCTTCCCTCCTCCAAGATGAAAGAAATCCAGGAGTCTACGATAATCAAACCCTCCACGCCCGCTGGCTGAAGTTCAGCTCGTCGGCGATGCAGCTCAGTGGGGTGATCAGCATTTCCAGCGTGACGAGCTCGGTGGAAGGGGAAAAACGCGACGGCGAGAAATTCACCTGGCCGCGAGTCAAACAGGTGCATGGTGGCAGCATCCAAGATTATAATAATATCTTGCAAACATGCAAAAAATAGATGTAATAAGACCGATTCCTTGGTTTTCACTAATGAATCATAAAGGCTTTCTTTACATTACACATGCTTTCTGGGCATACGCTGCCAATATTTCCACACTTGCAAGGTTGGAGTTTTAATACTGAGCCTCCCTCCCCTAAGGTTCCTCATTTTTGGCAAGATATACACAGTGACTGTGTGCCATGACAGGCTCCATCTTACTCTGGGGCAATCAGATTACTTCACCCAGATGGTTTTATCACCGAGACCATTAGAGATGCATTGCACAACATGCAAATGTGCCTTTGATAAAAAAAAAAAGTCAAAAAGTCTCAGTTCCTCGCTGCTGTCTTGTCGGTGTTCCTAAACATATTTCCTCTCTCCTGCACCGTTCCAAAGCACAGTTTGTCCGATATTCACCCAAAAGTGACTCAGCTAGTTTCTGATAGGCATCTCAAGTACACATTAACGAAGGAAATCGGCTTTCTTGAGGTACTGGATTGCAATGCAGGAGAACGAACCTTAGCCTTAACTATGGCAGGAATAAAGGCATCTATCTGTCAGGATGCCTAACATCACACACACTGCAAAAGTCAAGCACCGAAAAATAGAGAATATCACAATTACTTTAGAACATGCAAGTAAACAACCTCTTGTAGGGGGTACAAAAAAAAAAAAGAGAATTTTTTTCATAGGATCAGGTTCACCATTGAAAAATAGCCTGATCTGCAACGGACCTAGAGACATTCAAACGATACATCCTTAGAGCAACACAGCAGCTCTTCCACTCCGAAACAAAAGGGACTTTGACCCCCACCCACCACGCAGTCACCCTGTAATCACTGACTGAGCTTCGCTCTTCTCATCGAGGTTTGTCTGAGGCCATGGAGACAGCTGCTGCCAGCCCTGCTCCTATCTGCAGAACTGACTCAGGCAGAACACGGTCTTTACCTGAGAGGCGTCTGGGCACATCGGTGATGGCTGGAAGTCCTGTGCCTCGAGTGGAGGACAGGGGAGTCGTGGAGTGAATGGACGGTGAAGTCATCTGGCTCAAGTAGGACGGGTAAGACTGGTCGTAGGACCATGGCGGGGATGACTGCGCCTGCCTGGGGTCTAGGGGAAAAAAAAAACAAACAACAACAACAATTTTTTTAAAAAGGAAGAAAAATTTTAGGGTGTCAACAGGCTATTTGAAAGAGGTGGGATTACTGAACACACACACATCAGTGCTAGGAGGAACGAGAACTCAGCGAAACGTGACCTGCTGCTCTAGGTCTCAACCCCTTCAAGCCTCACTCCATGCTTTTCCCTCCCCGTACCAATTTTTGGGGGAAATGAATGGAGCAGTGAGCAAAGTTTTAAAAGATCTAGCAGCTGTGCTGCAAATTCCTGATGCCTCTCACCCAGGTCTAACACCAAGACTCGCCAGTCCCCGCGGACTCGGACAGGTAAGCAGACAGCAAGTACGAGACCCAGGTCTGAGCTTAGAAGTGGGCTTCAGAGGTGGGGAGACTCTACAGCCAGCACTTGGCGTGCCTGTGAAGTCGTTAGCCAGTTCAAACATTACACAGTAGTGTTTTCAGTGCTAAAAATGCGATCCAAGAAGGAAAATGTCATTAATCTTATCAGCATCCGTCCAAAAATGTCACATTTGGACGCTGGCCCAATTGCTGACAGTCACCTCCATTACAACAATATGAAACCAAATGGTTTGGGCTAACTGTCGGAAGCTAATGAAGCCTTGCAATGTACTTGCTACAGCTCACTGCGGAGGAAACGATTTTAAGGACAAATAAAGTTTATTTTTTGCTGAAGCACTGGTGGGTTGCACGAAGTGAGAGAGAGAGAGACCTAGCTTTACTCACTGGTGTCTGGATTTATAAACCATTTGCTCTCAGTTAATATCTGATGGCAAAGATACCACTGAATGCCTCATAAATTATTATTTTTATTTCTTTACATTGATAAAAACAAAGCACTTTCAACCCCAAGGTTTGTTCTGGGCACTGCACGATAAACAGAAAACTATCTCTGAGCCGGCTCATCGAAACTGCAGCACACGCCTCCAAATCCTCCCCAATATTTCCAGTGTCCACTCAACCTGGAGAACCTGCTGTACCAGAGCACCATGCTAAGGCCCTACTCTGCAGGCAGCAATGTGATAGCCACATGACATAAGCAAAGGCACTTTTTCAGGAAATTCAACTTTTTTTTTCTTTTTTTAACTCCTTTCCCTGCTCTTCCACACAGCAAAACCTTGTCGTTTCAGCTATTCCATGTTTATTTTTTCTGTTCAGACATGATTTGTTTGAAGAGATGTCTGGAAAGCAGATACTTCCTTAAAGCAAAATGACTACATAGATATATAACTCCCCCCAACTTTCCAATTTAATTTTAAGAGGATTTTCCTGGAGTTTGCCATATATATTAGAGTTAAGTAATATAAATGGTTAACATAAACTCCTCAGAAATCTGAAGGACACTTGATCATTAAATGTAATGAACTTCTTTGTTTTAACAATTTCAAGGCTAGGGTTGTATAGATTGGCACAGGTTCAAATCTGACTGACTGCTCATTGTTATATCTGATATCGACATATTTCTCTGCCTCATTCCACTACTATAATTCACCATTCAGTCAATGGTAAATGATCTTCAACTGGGAGCGGAAAGCCTAGGCTTGCTGGGAAAACAATCTTAAAATTAATGGTGTGTCAGGAGCACAATCTCAAATCCAAGCTCCTTCAAACTCCAAGAGCTTTTCAATCTCTGCTTCCGAATCCAAAACAGAGTCCCTGAAAGTTTTGGTTTTAGGTCAGCTCCAGAGCTGGAAGGAAATTATACAGCAGGTAAAGGCTGAAAAAAATACCACAGCAGAGGATGTTTTCACAGGATTTGGTCTAACATGGTGAAAGCCTCAAGAAAGGAGCTGCCTTCCGGAGGTTCATGCCACTTCTGGCAGGGCAGTCCTCATGGCATGAGATGATCCTGAGCATCTCTGGCACCCTCACCACTTTGAACACCCAAGCTTGACTTGGGTCTACACCTAACGTCCTTAATCCAGCCACTGTGAGTGTCTGTGCGGACACAAGGATGAATGGCAAAACGTGGTCTTTCAAAGGCTCATGTGGTCTTTCAAAGCAACGCCTCATACTGCACTGGCAGAGGCAGAAAATGAGGCTGGATGGACCACCAGTTAACCCAAAAGCGTATCATATATCCTTACGACATCTAGCGTAAATTTACACAGGGCTTCTGTAGCTCATCCCAACCTCAGCACCACAATATCACACTTCTTTTTGGTAGATCTATTTGATTTCAGTTCTCCACGAGTCCAATACCGTGAGATTTTAAACTGCAAAGTATTTTAGAGAAAGATGGATGGACTTAATGAAGACACTGTGCTGTGCCTTAACTGCTTCTGGCCCTGAAGCACACCTCCTGTTGGACTTGGGTAACTCACCCAACTTCCATTTGATGCAATTTCTACGTAAATTTAACAACAATAATGATATATTGCATATTCAGTTGGTCATTTCTTTAAGGTGCAGGTGCTCTTTGAGCACCTCACTCACAAAACGGGATGTTTATCTCAGCTGGAAACTTCCAACCCAGACATTCAGGTGCACACTTGAGCCCTTCTGAAACCAGAGTGCAAGCAACTTAGCTCCAGGGAAATGAGATCACATCTTCTCAGGGAACAGGAAATAATAAAGAGGAAAATCTTCAACCAAACTGAACATCTGATGATGCATCACAGCTCAGCGCCTGAGGAGAAGGACACAACACCTCAGGCTGGAGGGCCACTGAGATTCCTCTACAAAAACCAAGGCTTGGCTGAGGTCATGGTCGAGGCAGGGTGAGGAATTCTGCCTCGGTGCTGACCGAGGTTCAAGAGTTATCTTCAGCCCGTCAGGAAACCAGAAAGTGAAGATAACGGAGTAAATGCCCTAAAACCAGCCTCTGGTCACCAATAACGGCCAAAGTTTGCATGGACGTGTGAGGAGAGAGCAGCGAAACACCCTCGCCTTGCCAACCAAAGGTGATCTGCTAGCCCACAGGGTAAACCTCGCTACTCAGCAGTGTTGCCCAGTCCCCAGAGTAAAATGCTGCCTCGTTTAGTCCTCGGAGGTGGACATGCAGGTGGGTCTCATGAGGCACCCTTTGGTCCCAACAGCAGATGTTTCCTGCAACACCGCTGGAGCAGAGACTTTGGCCACCGAGGCCCAACAGCCTTCTCTTCTGGTCCCACACGCCACCCAAGCAAACATCCTGGGGAAAAGGAGGGTACCGGGGTGTTGCAGGGAAGTGCCTGCCAGTGCTTCTGGAGCAGATCCAAGTGGATGCTTGTGGGGGAAACACAACGGTGTCCTTAGGAGGGTCCCTCCTCCTCGCTTGGGCACGGAAGGGGTGGAGAGGCTTATGTAGCCCGTACCAGCAG